CTCGACAGCATATAACAACAACAACAACATATATATATATATATATATATGAAAACTTCTTTTGGACTATATCTTTATAATGTAGAGACTGCAAAGATGCTACAATTCATACCTATAAAGATCATAGATCTTAGTGTTTTCTTCACAATTGTTTCCTGGGTTGTAGGAAATAGGAGTCCATGATAAAAATAATTCCTTTTCCTTGTGGTTGGAAATGTAGATTCCTGTCATGCCTCCTTACCTGGCAGGCCTCTGCCTGATCCCGTAGAGCTTGCATACTGTTTCCAAATGCATTGAGATCCACTAGGAAGGCCTCATGCTTCTTTAGAAGAGCCTAGATTTGTCAATGGGAAGATTATCAGACAAAATACAATAGGAAACACCAAAAACCTCTGGGGCATGCTTCAACTACTCTTATTTGAGATATTCTAATTTTTGTCTAAATTACAAGAGCCACATTCTATCCAATATAAAGTTATTTTTAAACCTAACTTTGAAAGTATCAAGAAAATAGGAGTTAATAAATGAATTTCAATGTATTTTCAGAAATCAAAATGAACTCAAAATTACAACAGTGTTTTATCAAGACATATCATAGCTGAAAAAGGATGCTGCTGATAATATGTAGGAGGAAACACTAGCATAAATTTAAATGCCAATGTAAATTATTTCTAGTGCTAAAAATTTGTAAAATATTATACCAGCTTCCCTTTATTCCTAATGAACAAAGCAAAGAAATTGTTATAAAGAGCAAGGATGACCTTTGATTTTCTTCTTTCCCCAACATATCTGACTGACATTATTTCAATAAATTAATGTGCTTATGCCTTAAGACTCTGGTTGATTTATGAAAGCCTAAGGTCACTATGAGAAGTTTAGGATTGAACCAATACAGTCATGGGTCTCTAGTCACACCTTTTTGGATTTAGATAATCTCTAAGAAAGTTTGTTATATCTGTGAGATTAGAAAAATGTGGTATATTTCTTGGGATCTCTGTCACCTCTCAGGATATTGCAGAAGAAGAACAACAAAGATAATCATTCTAGAAACTACAAGTAATCTAGCAGAATTTATAATTTCCCCATAATCCAAGGAAACCCTGTATTACTAAATTGGTGCCATTTGATGAGACAATGAACATCTCAATGGTATTGATGAGACAGTATCCATCCCCATCTTACCCCAGCTGCTTCTTCATCAGCCCCATAGTTAGTATTATTAACAACAGGCTCCTTCTCTCTAATCCATGCTTCTGCTTCATGCAGGTCAGCCAGGTATTGCTGAAACTGGACATTGGCCTCTAGGTCATTCTTCCGCCTAGCAGCTCGAGTCTGTAGAGACTTCATATTCTCATTCAAACTCTTCACTCTGGATGCCACATCTTCTGCAGCAAAGTGTCCTGTGAAGCAATCATAGAAAAGGAGAGTGTCACTCTCATTAATGTCCACCATACTCTAATCCTTTTAGTAAAAGCAGGAAAAGCAAGACCAGGTGATAAAGGCTACTCTACTCAGACACAGCAGTACTACTCTGACTACATTGATTTTCTCCAATTCAAGTGGGTAAATGTTCTCAAACATTTTGCTCTCAGTTTCCTTTTATAATTTTGAAAATTACTGAGGGTCCCAAAAGCTTTTGCTTATTTGGGTTATATCTATTTTTAGCTGTAATATCAAATATTGAAATAGGAATTTTTAAAGCAAATATATACATATATACACAAACAAATATACAGTCCGTAAGCCATCAGAGAAATAACATTGTCACACCTCATTTAGTCTCTAATAAACTTCACTGTAGACTCATGAAAGAATGAATGTGAGGAAAGCAAATGGTGTCTTATCACTATTATAAAAATAGCTTTAACTTTGTGTTACTCTTGAAAATATTTCAGGAACCTCAAAAAGTCCTCAAACCACAAGTGGATAATAACTGCCATAGAACAAACACACACACATGCACACACACATATATAGAGCCATAGTTAATAAAATGATATGGAGATAAAATGGAATTATAATCCAACACTCCAAGTCCAAAAATCCATATCCAAATTTTAAAAGAAGGAAAATGTGAAGAACAAAGAGACAATAAAAAGCAAAATACTAAATTTAATTTTAACCATATTGATTATTGCATTAAGTGTAAATGCTGTAAACACTTTAATTAAAAGGGAAAAATTGCTGGATAGGATCAAATAAAAGGAACAAAAAGTTCTCAACCCACTGCCATTGAATCCATTGTGATTCATAGTGGCCCTATAGGACAGAGTAGAACTGTCACATAAGGTTTTCAAGGCTGTAAATCTTTACAGAGGTAGACTGCCACAACTTTCTCCCATGGAGCAGCTGATTGGTTCAAACCAACAACCATTTGGTTAACAGTGGAGTGCTTTAACCACTGAACCACGAGGGCTCCTTAAATAAAAGCAAGACCTAACTATATGATGTCTATAAGAAATCCACTTTAAATATATCTATTCACTGCTGTCAAGTCGGATCCGACTCATAGCGACCCCTCCTTGGGTTTCTGAGACTGTGTATAAGAAAGAATGGAGTAGTATGGAAATCTCAGTAAGTAGATTTCAGAACAAGGAACAGGACCAAAGAAGTGCTTTCCATAAAATTAAAGATTTCAATTTGACAAGAAGACATAGCAATTCTAAAAGTGTATGCACCAAATAGGCAAGTTTCAAGATACATGAAACAAAAGTTGATCAAACTGAAAGGAAAAATAGAACAGATCTAAAATTATATTTGGAGATTTCAAAGAAAATTTTAAAATAGTAAGATAAGTCTCTATAGTAATATTAAAAAAAATGCTGTAAATTTTGAGTCATAGTGACACCATACGTGTCAGAGTAGAAATGTATTCCATAGGATTTTAATGGCTGATTTCCCAGAAGCAGAGACCTTTTTTCTTGCTTGAATTTTTCAGTTGGGATTTGACTTTTGCTCAGCTGTCTGAATGTTAACCTACACTTTCAAAAACTGACTATTAGCTGGCAGCAATTTATTATTCTGTTAATAAATGAAATCAGAATTGCCTATACCACACTTAGCCTGTGATGTTCAGTCCTGAATATCATATTTAAATAGCAAGAGTTTCTGAAGATGGGAGACCAAGAGAAAGAAAGGCATCGACACAATATAAATAGAGAAACTTAAGGAAACAGTAGTGTTTAACATCACAACAAAAGAGCTATTGGGAATCTCAGTGTTGTCTTCACAGATCTGGAAGTGAACAAATAGAAAAGGACCGGATTTATTTTATGGGGCTTTGTAGCTTAGCTTCTGAATTCTTCTACAGAGGAGTATATTTATGCCTATTGTAAAGTATATTTTATTTTTAATAATTTTGTATTTGCAAAAGATAGACAGGACTACCTTATGAGATAGGGAGATACCTATTATTGGAATATAAAAATAAAGATGTACATCCAGCTCTTAGAAATGTACAAAGGGAATTTCTACATTGGGTGGGAAGATGGATATCTTCAAATTCCCTCAAAACTGCATGAATTTGCAAACTTCTTCACAGAGGTCCAGAATAGTGATGATTTGACCAACCCAGTCTGAATCATACATACCTTCCTCTACCATTTTGTTTCCCCTGTCTGTTATCACTTGAATGTGGGGTTCATGTGCGGCAATGTCAGCCAGGATAACTTGATGCCTATTTAGGAGATTCTTGGAGGAAACCAGGTCCTTACCTATAGAGGAAAAAGATCTCAATTTAGGAGATTATCTCAGTGCATGGAAAGTGATAAATTTATCTCATTTTATTAGAATTCTTAGACTTACAAATTCTTGCATTTGAAGTTCTAATCAGTGAGTGGGTTTTCTGAAATTTATATAGTCAGAAATAACTATACTCAGTTTTGTTCTTGCCTTTGTCTTTTCATACTAAGAAAATTCAATTCATTATTGTACAAATGATAATGAAGAAAGCACTATTTTCTTTGAAAATATGTGAGAAGGAAACTCCTGAGCTCAAATTCTTAATATCATGCAACTACTTTTCATAGTGTTGAAAGCAGGATCTACTACTTACTTTCTACAGTCTTAAGAAAGTTCTTAAATCCCTTACATGTAAGTTTTCTCACCATGATAAGGGCACACTATGACCTGACTTGAAGTTTCCTTTGTAATTATTAACTCACTGTCATTGAGTTGGTTCTGATTCATAGCTAACCCCATTGGGTTTCTGTGGTGGCAAATCTTTATGGAAGTAGATTGCTCCATCTTCCTTCCGTGGAGTGGCTGGTGGTTTTGAACCACCAACCTTCTGGTTAACAGTCAGAGGCCTTAGACACAGCACTACCAGAGCTCCTTTGTAAATATTATAAATAACAAATGTCTCACTTTTTCCTTAACATTAACAAACACATGATAAATTCTACCTATTGTGAATTTCCTATATCTTCCAATATTCTCAATTACTGCTGTCTACTTCATCCTCCCTGTCTCACATCCATGTGTCACCACTCATCTCTTCAAATTTTTCTTTCCTATACTTTCCATTCAAATTGACTCTCCAGAAATTCTCTGCCCAAGATCATTCCTCCCACCCTTCAAGGAAGCCTCAGATTTCTCTTTCAGGAAGTATTCCCAGACTAACCTCACCATTGTCTTCGTTGTTTTGTCCATCCTACATACTCTTAGTACAAAATTTCCACTCTATATGTGTTCAGTTTTTCCTGTATTTCAATGCAAGTGTCCAGCACCGACACTGGCAAACTGATAGCCTCCAAGGAAAGGACAAGAGGTACTTTGTCTGCTACTTCACCCCTTTTATCTCTGCAATAGCTCATTCAAAAGGGAGATCAAAGACAATAAACCAAGAAGGGGAGCACCAACAGCCTAGACAAAAACACTTGATATTGAAACACCAACTGTAACTGCTTAGCCAAGGACCTTCACAATAACTTAAGGTACAGCCAAAAGGTGAGCACTTTAGCTCTTTCCAGAGACCTGGAAATCATTGTTCCGTTTGTGTCTGGTTGTTGTAGATGGATTCCTCAGTATGAATTATTTTTAGAAAATCTTCCTATGGAATATTGGACAAGGTTTCATGAGCCAGAAGGAAAAGAACTGAGAACAAACTTTCCACCTCCTCACTGTATCCCAAATCTCTCTTTCAATCTGTACTTTGGTCCTTTCCTTGTGGCACAGCCAGCTCGAGTTTTACTAACCAAGGTAGGTGGAAGCTGCTGAGGGTTCTGTCTCTTGGATCCAGGCCTCTTCATCCTCAGTATCTCTGCAGATCTGGTGTAAGCGAAGGAGGTCGATGAGTTTCTTTTTCCGGGTGGCCAGTGGCTCTTTCATGGCTTCATACCGGGACACTAAGGATTCCTGCCTTGCCCGGATGTCCCCAGCATCAGGATGACCTGTTTCTTCAAAATATGCAGCCAGGTCTGTGAGGGTGTCCACTTGATCCTGAGGGAGAAATATAAGGGTATAAAGAGGAAGATATTGGAATCTGAGGGAGAAGCACAAGGAGAATCAATATTCATACGGGCCATGTTAAAACTTCTAATTGTTGTTGTTGTTGTTATGTGCCGTTGAGTCTGCCCCAACTCATAGCGACCCCTCCTTGGGTTTCCAAGGCAGTATCACTAGGGAAGTAGATTGCCTCATCTTCCTTCCGAGGAGTGGCTAGTGGGTTTGAACTGCCAGCCTTCTGGTTAGCAGTCAAGTGCCTTAGGCACTAGGCTACCAGAGCTCCTAGAACTTTTAACTATATTAGTGGAAAAGAATCAAAGGAGTTACTAACGTAAGTCACTAAAGTACCCCCATCAAGCTAAGAGCAATTTATGAGACAGTAGTTTTCAAATGACATTTCAAAAAGGACAGAATATATAGGATGCTCCAAGAAAATTGGAGAAATCAGAACTGCAGAGGCTTAACTTTTTGGAAGTGTTGATAAATCATGGCTCTAAGGAAAACAAAGGGAGACTTTTGCTACGTCAGTTCCGTTTCTATTCTCTATCACTCTCTTTAAAATTAACTACAAATGTAAATAAAATGGTAACTTCTAAAGCTTAAGTCAGAAGGAAGATGGGGCAATCTACTTCAGTAGTGATACTGCCTCAGAAACCCAAGGAGGGGTCGCTGTGAGTCAGGTCTGACTCAATGGCACATAACAATAAGAACAAAGCTTAAGTTTATTGTATAGCAAGACAGTATCCATGAGATGAAACATGATTTTAAGAAAATAAATTTCAGAAAATGTCAGAACCTTGACAGAAATGAAAAAGCACAGCCTTGGCCAATAACTTCTTGTGTGAACTTGAGAAAACCATGGTCCCTGTTTGAACAATATTAGAGAAAAGAAGACTATAGAAACAGGATTTTGAAGGATATTCCTAGAAATAAAACGTTGGTTGCCTGTCTGTGTGGTAAAATAGATGCAAGAAACACATTCTATCTTCATTAATCAACCATTACTGGCAGAAACAAAATACTCAGGATTTTTGTGTGTCTATTTGTTTTGTTTGTTGGTTGGTTGGTGGGGTGAGAGGAAGGACTGAATTGTACATATGAGAATTAGTCAAGGGTAAGGATAACAGCAAACACTGGTTTTACTTATTCTACTCTGCTATCCAGGACTCAACCTGTTTAGAGTTTTATCTATGTCTCTTCAGTTTGGAACAAAGCAATGACTATCAATAACTTATGAACACATACTTACTTCTTAAAAAAAGAAAAGCTACATAAAAAAATTAAGTCACACTTCTGGTAAGATGGTGGAATAGCCAGACAAGCTACACAGACCCCCTTCAACAAAGAAAATAATCCAATTGACAGAGATACAAAAACAATCCTGGAACCCTGAGCTTTAACAGGAAGTATACAGAAGTGGATTAGGCACCAACTGGTGGAAAAACCTGAATGAAACAGTGAGTACAGAGATGGTTGGATCAGTGGACTGTCAGCTACTCTGACAGGACCAACAGCTGGAATACTTCCAAGTGGTGTTAGGACCTGAGAATTGACCTAAAGATCAGCCCTGGTTGCCAAGGGCTGCAGTGAAGACTGCTCTCGTGGCCTATGACTAGGAAGGGAAATAGCAAGGAGGGAGACAACCTGAGCTGCAGACTTTTGGCTGCCCAGAGGGCACAGCCATTTTGATTGTTTACAAGTGGTGGCCATTTTGGATCTTTAAAGTGACTGAAGGTGCAGCCATTTTGAATGTTTAAAACAGCAGCTATTTTGGATTTTAAAGTGACAGCATTCTCATTCAGATTCCAGGGACCTAAGAATAGGCTCCATTTGCCAAGGATGGCAGGGACATATGGGAGGCAGACAATGGGAAAGGAGACAGGTGGTGAGAATAAGTGCTGCCAACTAGCGAATAGAGAAGCAAAACACAGTACCCTGCTTATGTAGATAACATACAAAGAAAATGAAAATCATGGGCAAGTCACTCAAACATACAATCACAAATTAAATATAAGCAGAAAAATGTCACAATGCTTCAGAGACAACAGAGCATCACAGTCCACACAAAGAAGCAAGACAAAACAGGAGAAACAAGGACACAGACCCAAAACACATCCCTGAAGAAGATGCAGCATTAGAACTCTCTGATAAAGAATTCAAAAGAATTATATTATGTACCTTCAATGAATTCAGAAACAGATCAAGGAAAACACTGAAAAAAATGGAGGAAAACACAGAGAAAACCCTAAAACAATCTTGAAAGAAAATACAAGAACAAAATGACAAAATAAATGGAAAATTAGAAATGATACAAAATCTACAGACAAAAATCCAGAAGATTAATAGTAAATCTTCAGAAGTAGATAACACACTGAATGTGCAAAGGAGTAGAATTAAATCAATGGAAGACAGAATTAGTGATATTGAAGACAAATACCTCAACACTTCTTTGGAAAAGGATCAATCAGAAAAAAGATCAAAATAAAATGAAGAAAGCCTAAGGTTCATGTAGGATACTATCAAAAGGAATAACCTACGTGTCATTGGATTAGAGAACAAGAAGAGACAAATAAAACCACAGAAAAAATTTGTCAAAGATTTGTTGGAAGAGAATTTTCCTGGTATGATGAAAGATGAGAATATATGTATTCAAGAAATCCAATGTACCCCAAATAGGATAGATCCCAAAAGAAAATCACCAATATATATCATCATCAAACTCACCAAAGACAAAGACAAAGAAAAGATCCTGAAAGCAGCATGGGAAAAACGAAAAGTTACCTACAAGGGGCAACAAATAAGCCTAAGCTCAGATTTCTTGACAGAAACCATGCAAGCAAGAAGAAAATGGGGTGGTATGTATAAAACCATGAAAGAGAAAAATTTCCAACAAAGAATTATATACTGAGCAAAATTGTCCTTCAAATATGATGGTGAAATTAGGACATTTCCAGATAAGCAGAAATTAAGAGAATTTGTTAAAACCAGACCAACCTTTCAAGAGATGCTAAAGAGATTCCTTTGGACAGAGAACCAATAATAGCAAACAACAACTGACCATTAACACACATGATGACATAACCCAGAAACCAACCCAATTATGGAAATATCCAAAGTAAATAAGCCTACAAGATTGTGAACAGGGAACCAGAGACATCAGTTGGCAAATAAGGACAACTACAAACCAAAAAGAGGGAAAAAACTGTGTAGTTACAGAACTTCTAAATCGTAGGGAAGTCAAGACAACTGCAAGATAGAACTGACTGTTCTAAACTTGGAAAGAAAATTATAAATCACAGCATAACCTCAAAGAAAAATGATAAACCTTCACATCAAAATAAAAAAGAAGGCAAGGCCAGCACAAATATTTAGCAAATACTAAAACAATAGCAATGAAGGAAGTGATAACATGATTCATAAACAAAACGACTCAACACAGAAAATTATATGGAACAATTAAATCAACAAATCAAAAAAACACATAACAAAATGACAGCAACAAATTCATGTCTGTTGATAATTACATATTTGACAAGGGACACTTGTCTCTAAAATTTATAGAAAACTCCAACACCTCAACAACAAAAAGATGAACAATCCAATTAAAAAATGGGCAGAAGACATGAATAGACACTTCACCAAGGAGGATATTCAGGTGGCCAGCAAATGCTTGAAAAGATGCTTGGGATCATTGGTCATCAGAGAGATGCAAATCAAAACAACAAGATACCATCTCATCCCAGTACTGATGACAAGGTTCAGAAAATAACAAATGCTGGTGGGGATGTGGAGAGATTGAAACTCTCATACACTGCTGGTAAGATTGTAAAATGATACAACCACTATCGAAAACAGTATGGCGAGTCCTTAAAAAGCTGGAATTAGAAATACCATTTGACCCAGCAATCTCATTACTAGGTATATATCCTAAAGATGTGAGAGCCCAGACAAAAACAGATAAATGAATACCCATGTTCATCACAGCACTATTCACAATAGCAGAAAGATGGACAACCTACATGCCCATCAACAGAAGAATGGATAACCAAACTGTGGTACGTTCACACAATGGAATACTATGCAACACTAAGGAATAATGTAGAATCTGCAAAACACTGCATAACATGGATGAACTTGGAGGACATTATGCTGACTGAAATAAGTCAATCACAGGACAATATAGTGTTAGTTCACTATTGTAAAAAGTCAAGGAAAGGTTTCTATATACAGAGAAGCTTTCTTTGTTGGTTACCAGGAGTGAGAGGGGAAGGAAGGGAACATGGAAAAAAAAAAAAAAAATGCATCGACCCATGTCACTTTAGTTTTGTGTATTTCACAGTACATAAATTATATTTCAATAAAATGCATTAAAAAAAAAGAAGAAGAAACAAAGCCCACAGTGGTGGGGGGGGGCATTAAAAGTCTCTGAGTAGCCAATAGTTATTTTTAAACATCATCATTGTCATCATCATGGATCCACAATGATCTTTGGAAACCACTGATGAAGTGGCTAAAGAAATAGAAGACCTGGATTATGCTTTTGGATGTCACTCAATTCCCATGTAATATTGAGAAAGGTCTTTCACCTGTTTTGTTCTTAGTTTCCTCACCTATAGAAAGAATTTGAACTAGAAGATATTGAAAATCTTTCCCAACTTTAACTTTCTATATCAAAAAATTTCTTTGGAAGTATTATATATTGACCTCCATCCTCACAAGGAAAACTAATTCCTGGTGAATGACTGCCTTAATATTCCTAGATTGGGTCAGGTATTTCTATTTCTTAAGTGTTTATACATGCTGTTCCTCCTGTTCCTCTTCCTCAAGATAAATTTTTGTTTCTTTGTTTACTTTTCTCCAGTCTTATCTTTTCTCACCTTCAAAAATCTGTTCCTCCATGTAGTCTACACAGCCTTTTAGTACGGTTGTCCTACCTCCAGTCTTTTATTTTATTTAACGCTCATTGAGCTATCCTAAATTATGTGTGGCTTTTCTTTTGTTTTCTGTAGGCTATGCAGTATTTTCCTTTTTCCTTGCTTAACCCTGAGTAACCAATGAGAAGACACTATAAATGCTTATTTTAACAAGATTGATGTGGTATCTTGTAGTGAACAGCATACTCATTTTCAAATCCAAACCAGAATTCTTGGAATGAGAAACTGAATCAGCTGGAATTAGATTTCCACTGGATTCTCCAGAAACTCCCATGCAGTATCCATGCTCTAGAAATTTACTAAATAATTTTATTTAAACAAAAGTCTGGTGGGGAGTGAGAAGAAGAGCCCTGAATATAGCAGCCTTGGTATCTATATAATAATCCTGGAACTGCTGTTGATATTCTCTATGGCAATGGGGAGGTCACTTTACATCTCTGAGCTTTAGTTTTTTAACTAAAACAATAAGAGACTTCAAGATATTTTCTAGCTTTGAATCACAGAAAATCAGAACAGGAAGAGATAATTTTATCCAAAACTTGTATTCACCCAAAAGGTGAAATGACCTACTAAAGATCATATAATTAGTATGTTATAAGACTATATATATAATCCAGATCTCTGGAGTGAGAGAACAATGTTATGTTTAGAAGAGTCAATAAAGTCTTACATCAGCCATCAGGTTCTAGTAAAAGACATAGAATACCAAAGAGAAAGGCTGCATCAGAGGAGATATTGGAAATAAGAAGTTGACCAACTAGCAAAACAGAATTTTTATATTTGGTCCCTTGCTCTCTTGGCATTATTTCTTATAAATCTGTTCAGAGCTTATATACCAGTTTCTCACAATTGGTCAAAAAGCTAGCAACAAACCTGATGAGCAGCCACAGCTGACTCCAGGAGGCCATGTTTCCTGAGTAGATTCTGGACATCTGCCAGGCCTTTTCCATAATCCTCAGAGGCAGCCTGCAATTCTGCCTCCTCCAGCCAACGCTTTAGGTCTTCTGCATTATTTTCAAACTGCAGCTGCTGGTTAGCTTCATGCAACTGGGTCCCTGGGAGAAGGCATTAGGTACAAGATATTAGATACCATACCACTCCTTTTTGCACTATAATATACCTTCCTTCAATTTAAAAAGCAATATAGTAGAGGAGGATCCAAGATGAAAGATTAGGCAGATACCCTATTCAAATCCTCCACAACACATACTTGACAAAACAAAGGAAAGAGCTGCAGATGATAATTCTGAATCCCAGAGCTTCAAAAGAAATGATAAAGTAGATCAAATACCAATGAAAGAGACTGAATGAAAACAGTGAACTGGGATAGGTAAACTGACAGCACAGCACGGCCATTTTGACTTATTATAAGCAACGTTTTCATCTGAATGGTAATCAGATAACCAGCTCCACTTGTCCAGGACAGCACCAGCACACACATTGGTGATCAGGCAAGCAGAGAGATGTGACCTATCTCCTTACCTTGGACAACCTCGCAATGACCAGAGGCATGGCTCTATCCTCTCCTACCCACATGGCAGCTTGTCAAATTTCCCTCACTGCCAGTGCTCTATCACTTTTTCTTTTGCGCTTTTTTTCCCCCCTTTATCTTTCTGCTCATGTCTTCCATCTTCCCCCACTTCTTTTTCATTTTTCCTTTTTTTAATTTTTCTTCCTCTTCCCTTACCCTTTTTCTTTTTGGCTCACAAAGAGCAGGAGTTGCTCCCCACTGGCCACATGGTTATCAGCACCCATCCCTGCCCCTCCCTGGTCAGAGGTCAGCACTCCCATGGAGCCAGCACAGCATTCCATTGTTTGGTGCCTGGCACTATTGCCAGTATTGTACTGCTTTTTACTTACTTTCTTTTTTCTTTCTTCTTAGTTCTTTCTTCTCCCCCTTGTTTTACTCTTCTTTTTTTGTTTTAAATTCCTCTTTAGTTCCTAAGGCATTTGACTGCTAACCAGAAAGCTGGAGGTTCAAACTGACCAGCTGCTCCTCAGAAGGAAGATGGGGCAATCTGCTTCCATAGAGATACCACCTCAGAAACCCAAGAAGGGGTTACTATGAGTTAATCAACTCGACAGCAGTGAGATTGTTTTTTTTTTTTTTTTTTTTCTTGGTCTTCACCCCCTCTTTTTCTTTTTGATCCTGCAGAGTGGGTGCCCACCCCCACCTGTGGTCTGCAGCACTCTCTCCCACCTCTCCATGGATGGCAGTACACACTCTCCCAGAGTGAGCTGTGCATTCCTGCCACAGTTGTATTTGGTGGTTAATACTTGCACCATTTTTTTCCCCCTCTCTTTTCCTTTTTGTTTTTTCCCTTCCTCTCAGATCTTCCCTCTTTCCCCTCCATTGTTTGTGTTCTTTTTTCTTTTTCCACTTCCCTGTAATATTTTCTCCTTTTTTTCATTTCTTTTTTTTTTTGACCCACCTGAGCAAGTGCCTAGCCCCACACCATCTCTGTGTTCAATAGCATTGCCACTGACCCTCCATATTCAATAGTGCATATTCCCCTGAAGTGAGTGCCACATTTTCACCAATTCTGTGTTTGGTGGTTAAAGCTTGGGTTAGTACTGTGACATATTTGTTTATTTTCTTCCCTTTTTTCTCATTTTTTTAAAACTTTTTAAATCTCCTTTCTCTCCCCCCCCCTTTCTTTTTCTTTTCTCTTTTTTCCTTCCTCTTATTTTTCTTTCTTTATTTCCCCAGCAGTTGATAGTCAGTGACCCAACCCAGCTATAATCACTACACTTGCTGCCACACCCACTTGGTGAGTGCCACCACCCACTCCAGCACCACTGGATCAAAGATAAACAGTGGCCAATATCCACTTACCCTTCCCTCAGCTGCTCTGCATAGTTAGTGATTATAGACTCACACCCATACTCCCACCTGCTACCCAATCCAACCAGAAATGGGTGGTGAGTAGTCTACTGCTGCAAAACTAGGAACTAGAGTAACATGCCAGCCATGTTGCACAGATATAATAAAAGAAAACAAAACAACAACAACAACAACAAAAATGTGGTGATGCAAACTAAAACACAATCAACAAATTATTACAACACTACCATGTTTCAAAGAGAACAAACAATTTGAAATCACATGCAAAAAAACAAGCCATGATGGCTCAAACAAGTGACCAAAATACAGGGCCAGAAAATCTTCCAGAGGAAGAAATGCTATTGGAAATATTTTAAAAGGAATTCAAAAGAATTATGTTTAAGTTCCTTCAATGAGTTGAGAGAAAGTTTGAGGAAACAACTGGAAAAATCAAGTAAAACACAGACCAAACTCTAGAAGAATTAAAAATATATATACAAGAACAAATTGATAAAATAAATGGAAAATTAGAAAGCATGCAAAAACAGCATATAGAAATCCAGAAAATTAATATTAAAATTTCAGAAAGAAATAATGCTTTGGAAGGGCAAAGGAATGGAATTGAATCAGTTGAACACAGAATTAGTGAGATTGACAATAAATCTCTCAATACTAATCTGTTAAAGGAATTAACAGAAAAAAAATAAATAAATACTTAAGAAAGTCTAAGAATTATGTCAGACACCATCAAGAGGACTAATTTATGTGAGATCAAGTTCCAAAACAGGAAAAGACAAAAAAAAAAAAAAAAAGAAAAGAGAAAACAGCTGAAGAATTATTGGAAGACAACTTCCCTAATATCATGAAAGACATGTGTCTACAAGAGACACACCTTAGACACAGAGGAGAAAATAAGCAAAACAACAAAAGATGGAAAAACATTTATCAACAAATGGCAAACAAACAACAAACAAAAAGCGGGAGTGGCAATATAAATTTATGATAAAATAAACTTCAAGGCAAAAACCAGCAAGAGAAAAGAAAGGATATTATATAATGATTAAAGGGTCAATGCTACAAGAAGACAAAAACATAATAAATGACTATATGCTTAATGAAAGAATCCCAATACATACGAATCAAACTTTAACAGAATTGAAATAAATGTATATAACTACACAATAATTATAAGAGACTTTAATACACCACTTTCAACAAAGGACAGAAAAACTAGACAGAAATTCAGCAAAGATACAGAGGATCTAAACAATACAATCAGCCAGCTAGACCACATAGATGTACATATAACACTCCACCCAACAATAGCAGAATGTACATTATTTTCAATGCATATGGAACATTCTCCATAACAGAGCATGTGTGTTCAGCCACAAAGGAAATGTCAATAATTTAAAGATCATTGAAATACAAAGCATCATCTCAGCTCACAATTCTATAAAATTAGAAATCAACAACAGGAAGATCAAGGGGAAAAAAAAAAAATCAAATACATGGAAACTGAAAAAACACCCTGCTTCAAAAACTACTAGATAATAGAAGAAATAAAAAAAATTCCTTGAATCAAATGAAAATGAAAACACAAGATACCAAAATCTTTAAGACATCACAAAAACAGTGCTCACAGAACAATTTATAGCAATAAACACACACATCCAAAAAGAAGAAAAAGCTGAAATGAACACCTTAACCCAACAAGTCTAACAATTAGAAAACAAACAACAAAAAAAGCCTACCATCACAAGAAGAAAGGAAATAATAAAACTTTGAGCAGAAATAAATGAATGAGAAAATAAAAAAATCAATAGAAAGAATCAACCTGATTAAAAGTTGATTCTTTGAAAGAATTATTAAAATTGACAAACCACTGGCAAATTTAACAGAGGAAAAGGAGAAGATGCAAAAAAGAAAAAAAAAAAAGAATAAGAAATGAAAGAGGTGATGTCACAACAGAACTTATTGAAATCAAAAAGATAATAACAGAATACTATGAAGAAGCAGCTCTGGTAGCATAGTGCCTAAGGCACTTGACTGCTAACTAGAAGGCTGGCAGTTCAAACCCACCAGCCACTCCTCAGAAGGGAGGTTGGGCAATCTACTTCCGTAGTGATACCGCCTCAGAAAGCCAAGGAGGGGTTGCTGTGAGTCAGGTCTGACTCAATGGCACATAAAAACAATACAACATGAGGAACCATACTCCAAAAAAATTTAAAAGCCTAGAAGAAATGGAAAAATTTCTAGAAACATACTACCAACCCTAACTATCACAATCTAAGATAGAAAGTTTGAACAGACCCATTGCTAAAGATGAAATTGAACAAGCCATTAAAAAAAAAAAAAAAAAATGTCCTGGCCCAGAGAGCTTCACTGGTGAATTTATCAGTCATTCAGAGAACAGATGACATAATTTTACTCAAACTATTCCAGAACATGGAAAATGATGGAATATTCTTAACCTCATTCTCTGAAGCAAGCATAATCTTGAAACCAAAACCAGGCAAGGAGATCACTTTAAAAAAATTATAAATCAATCCCTCATGAACATTGACACAAAAATTCTCAAAAAATTCTAGCCAATAGACTCCAACAACATATAAAAAAACAATGTATCATGACCAAGTGGGATTCATATGAGTTATGCAAGGATGGTTTAACATTAGAAAAACAATCCACATAATCAACCACATGAATAAAACAAATGAAAATAACAAAACGATCATATCAATTAATGCAGAAAAGGCATCTGACAAAGTCTAGCACCTGTTTTTGGTAAAAACACTCAGCAAAATATGAATAGAAAGGAAATTCCTTGACATAATTAAGGACATATACACAAAACCAGCAGCCAATATTATTCTCAATGGAGAGAAATTGAAAACATTCCCCTTGCCAATGGAAACCAGACAAGGGTATCCTTTAACAATACTCCTGTTCAGTATTGTATTGGAAGCCCTAGCCAGAGCAATAAGGCAAGAACAGGAAATAAAAGGCATCCAAACTGGCAAAGAAGAAGTAACACCATCTCTATTTGCAGATCATATTATCTTATACATAGAAAGTCTTAGGGACTCAACAAGAAAATCACTGGTACTAACAGAAAGATTCAGCAAAGGAGCAGGGTACAAGATCAACATAGAAAATCAGTCAGATTCCTCTACACAAACAAAAAGAACTCTGAAAAGGAAATAATTACCATTTACAATAGCCATTCAAAAGATGAAGAACTCAGTGATAAACCTAACCAGAGATATATAAGATCTATACAAAGAAAACTATAAAACATTACTACAAGAAAACAAGAGACCTACATAAATGGAAGAATATGTCATACTCACGGATAAAATGATTTAACATTGTGGAAATGGCAATACTACCCAAAGCAATGTATAGCCATAATGCAATCCTGATCCAGATTCTACCATCATTCTTTAAACATATGAAAAAAACTAATTGCCAGCTTCATGCAGGAAGGAAAAAGATCTTAGATAAGTAAACCACTAATAAAGAAGAAGAACAAAGAAGAAGGTCTCACACTCCCCAATCTCAAAACTTACTATACAACCACAGTAGTCAAAATGGTCTTGTACTGGTTCAATTACAGAGACACATAGACCAATGGAACAGAACTGAGTACCCAGAAGTAAAGCCACATACATATGGACAGGTGATCTTTGACAAAGAGGTTGTTGTTGTTGTTGTTATGTGCCGTCAAGTCGGCCCCGACTCATAGCGACCTCTCCTTGGGTTTCCGAGGCAGTATCACTACAGAAGTAGGATTGCCCAACCTTCCTTC